AGTGGAGAGGTTTTCACTATAGGGTGTGTGCACTTGCCAGAAAGACAGAGAGACAGAAAGCAAGAAATCACCCCCCAGGCGTGATTTATTTATAATACATAAAGTTATTAACCTTAACCACCGTGTCATGGGCTGGTCCTGTAGGATGCATTCTTAAAGAGGAGTTGATGGGCAAAGAGCCTATACATTGTAATTTTTTTTTTTGGGAGAGGTTTTAGCTATAGGCGCATGCGCTTGCCAGAAAAACAAAGAGAGACAGAGAGACAGAAAGCAAGAAATCACCCCCCAGGGGGGATGGCCACGCCGCAATCCCTTCTCCTCCATTCTCCTCTCGGGATCTTGGGCACACACGCACATGCGCCTGGCGTGAGTTTAAGCCACCGGGTCCAGGACTCAAACCACGGTCAACTACACGGAGTCCAGTGACATAGCCATTATGCTAACTACTGGTCCCAATAATAAAATAATTCTTTAAAAATAAATAAATAAAACAGAGTATATACCAGAAAGATGTGTGGTATGTCAGTGTGTGTGTGTGTGTGTGTGTGATTTTCTATATTTGCTTGTATAAATAACCCCTGGAAGGGTAATATCAACAGTATGGACAGGAAGTGCCTCATTACCAAATTCCAATTAATACATGAAGGAGTGACAGAATGACAGTATTACAGTTTTGCACACTCTGATGAATGTTTGGCTCTTGGCATCACACACCGAGCGCCACCGACATCATGAAAAGGAAGATGCCCAGGCAGACGGGGCCTCCTGATGGAAAAGTACTGCCCTAGAGACAAACACACACACAATCAGGCAGAATCTATCTAGCCTTAGGTCCAACATCTGATTTGCAGGAAATCAGGGGACAGGGGAACATGTTAAATGACACCACAGGGGAGAAATCAGCAAAATTCAGATTACAGGAACCTCTAAAAAAAAAACTGGCCCAGTTTCTTGAACAGATAAGAGACAAAGCGGGCCGGCAGGTGGCGTGGTGGTTAAAGGCACTGGACTCCCACATAACCAATCACGGTTTGAGTCTCACTTTCCCTCTCTCTCTTACAAATAAATAAAGTTAAAATAATTCTTTTCTTTTTTTTAAAAAAAAGAGGGGGCTGGCAGGTGGTGTGGGGGTTGAGGAGTTGAACTCCCACATGGATGACCGTGGTTTGAGTCCCAGACCTGGCAGCTTACTTTGTTTTTCTTAATTTATTTTTTTAATAATTACTTTTTAAAATTTAATTTAATTTATTTATTCATTTATTCTTAATTTGAACAGATAAAGAAACAGAGAGCTACAGAGAGAGAGAGGGAAACTGAGAAATCAAGCCACCAGGTCTGGGACTTGAACTGTGGTCGGCCATGTGGGAGTGTCCAGCACCTTAGCCACCATGCCACCTGCTGGTCCCCCTCACTTTCCCTTTCTCCCTCTCTGTCTTGGGTCAAATTAAGAAATGGCAATAATAACAATAACAAATGGAATTAAACAAATAATTTTTTTAAAAAGAGAGAGACAAAGCAACCGATCTCATCTTACAAATGTCTGTGGATCCAAATTGTAAAGACAAAATGTAAAGCAAACAACCTGTGACATTTATGAACCAACTGGAAAACTCAGACACTGACGAACTCTTTGATGATAGTATGAATTTTAACTAAAAAGTTTTAATATGAAAAAGGAAACCCACTGGTCTCCCTCCTCGGGGCCTGGCCTGCACTGCGGCCGTGCTGTCCGCCCACAGTGGCCTTGGCATGCCTCTGCTAAAGGATCAAGGCCAAGCTCCCTGCTGCGGCAGCCTCCTTTCCCTTCCCCTGCTCTTTGCTCCCACCCTTCTGGCCACCACCGTCTCCACCTCTCAGCCTACGCTCACGCTGCCCCATCTGCCTGGAAGTCCACTGCCATGCCATTCTCAACCCTGCCCATCCATCGAGGCCCCACGCAAATTCCACTTCCTCAGGCATTGTCTTTCTGACCTTATCCCTCCTATCCTGTAAGCCTTGGGAACATTCCTTCTGTCCCATTTTCATGTCACTGATGGCTCACTTCCTCAGTCTAGAATTTGGGGTCTGTGTATTTTAATCACCAGAAGCTGTGAGGTCCTTGGTAGCAGAAGCTGAATATGCTAGTGGATTAAAATCAGGACCTTCAAATATTGACTCAGACACTTACAACTTAGGAAGGTGACTCAACTTCTCTGAGCCTCAGTGTCCTCATCAGAAAAATGGAGACGATTATACTTACTATTTTCAATTAATACTACGACATTAGTTGAAATAAAATGTACCAAGTGCCTTCCTAGCTCAGAATAAACACCTGGTAAACACTGACCACACACTTGTGGCAATAGTCAATATTACGAGCTGCCTCTACACAGCCACATAGCAGGCTCATGGCAGGCACGCTGAAATGCACTGAATTTGACTGGGTTGAGTGGAGCTCAACTTAGAGGGGGTTGGGGGATCTGAATGGTGGTGCAGTGGTAAAACATGATGCTCTGAGGCTAACCCACAGGGAGAGGTTCCAGGTTCCTATCCAGAGAGCTCTCTGAATACACTGGGCATGTGCGTGCCCCTGCCACGATCCAGGCTGGCCGAAGCTGGGGACGGATCATAGTCAAGACCATATTGGGAGTGCTACCTCTGTCTGTCTCTGTCTTGCTCATTCGTGGAAGAAATAAATAAAATGGAGAAAAAAAAAAAAAAAGAAAAAGAAAACAATGTGAAAAAAGAAGGGCCAGCCCTATGGCTCAGCAGTTAAGGAAGCCTGATCCTATATAGCCAACAGAGGTTCGACTCGCAGCCCCAGAGGCTTGAAACATAGGTGTGTGCATGTGCCCAAAATCCTGACAGGAGGGAGGAACAGACAGGACTGCAGCCACATCCTATTGGGCGTGCTTTCTCTCCCTCACCCGGCCAGTGCACATGCTCTCTGGCAATCATTATAAAGACTAGAGTTGGATCCCAGCTGCTGCTGAGCCTCCCCAAGCCACCCCCTGCCGTGGCCAGGCCTCACCTCTCAGTGGACATCTTCACCTCGCTGACCAGCCGTCGAACCCCCACGACCTGCCTCCAGAGGAGAAGCAGGCGGCTGTGCTCATTGCTGAAGTATGCGTTGAAGGACTGGCGGGAAATACATGCCCAGTAAGGGACTGGAGGTTGTCATGAATTCCCCCACCAGCTCAACCATCCCTGGGACACTGTGGCCCGGGAGTGGGTCCTCCTGTGAGCTGGCTCTGGGCTTGTGCACAGGGCTGCATCAGAGTGGCCTCGCTCAGAGCCTCTTGCACAAGGCCTCTACCGGATGGGAGGGGCTGCGAAGAAGGGCAGAGTGCTGGGGCTTCAGTATGCGTCCCAGCCCCCGATGCACTGCCGTGGGAGGTTACTTCACCTCTCTTTAAGTGAGGTAATGACAGCACCTACCACATGCAGCTCATATGAGCAATACACACCTGGCAGGTGGCATGTGCTAATGAAGGCCCTGGTACCATGGTGCCTGTTGGCCTTGGCAAAAGCTCCCTGGTCAATATCCCCCTCCCTAGTCCTCTCCAGACTTCTGAGTCCTCACCACTCTACAAGGCCCTGTCCCTCAGGGCACCCCATGCCTACCTCCTCCTCACGCCTCCACGCTGCCTCCCGCTGCTCCAGTTCCTTGCGGCTGCGTGACCAGTCGTTAGTCACCTTCCGTATGTCCTCACTCAGAGCCTGGTTGGCAGAACTCACCTGGTCCAGCTGTTCTCGGAGCATAGCATTCACCTGGACCAGGCTGGCGCTCCTGGGCAGGGCACAGGGCACCAGTGGGCATTCACCCAGGAAGGCCACCTACCAGTCCTGCACCCTCCCTGTCTCTCACCTCTGCTGCTCCTCCTCCAGGCGGATGAGGGCGCTCTCCAGGTCTTGTCTGTGTTCTGTGTCCTGGGTGGCAGGGAGGAGCATCAGGCTGGGCAGGCAGAGGCACGGGCCTGCCCTGCCCCTTCTGGACACCCACCTTCAGCTGCTGCTGCTCCAGCTCTGTGGATCTCTCCAGCAGCTGTTGCTCCAGCTCTGAGCTCTTTTTCTTATACTGGAGGATCTGGGGATGGGTGGGAGTAGGTGGTGAGCCCACGGCGGAGGAAGGGCACAGGAAGCACATGGCAGACAGGAGTGGGAGTGGGTGGCCCTGACCTTGGCCTGCAGCCGCTGCACCAGCTGGGCCTGCCGCTGCTGGCCCTCCTGGTAGGCCTGCAGCCTGCGGCCGGCG